CTGACGGCGGCGACGACGGCGGCGACGACGGCGACGACGACGGCAACGACGACGACGACACATTGTTTCTTACAAACACGTAGACACCCAATTCCTCGAAGACGAACACCTAGACACTTAGTTCCTCGAAGGGGAACACCTAGACACTCACTACCTCGACGTCGAACACGTAGACACCCACTTCCTCGAAAGCGAACACGTAGACACTTACTTCCTCGAAGGCAAACACCTAGACACTAAGTTCCTCGAATGCGAACACCTAGACACCCATCTCCTCGACGGCGAACACGTAGACACCCACTTCCTCGAAAGCGAACACGTAGACACTTACTTCCTCGAAGGCAAACACCTAGACACTAAGTTCCTCGAATGCGAACACCTAGACACCCATCTCCTCGACGGCGAACACGTAGACACCCACTTCCTCGAAAGCGAACACGTAGACACTTACTTCCTCGAAGGCAAACACCTAGACACTAAGTTCCTCGAATGCGAACACCTAGACACCCATCTCCTCGACGGCGAACACGTAGACACCCACTTCCTCGAAAGCGAACACGTAGACACTTACTTCCTCGAAGGCAAACACCTAGACACTAAGTTCCTCGAATGCGAACACCTAGACACCCATCTCCTCGACGGCGAACACGTAGACACCCACTTCCTCGAAAGCGAACACGTAGACACTTCCTTCCTCGACGATATATATATATATATAAACATTATATATATATTATTAATAAATATTTTATATTATATATTGAATAATATTTAATTTTTAAATATAAGATTTTAAACCACGCACGCGTCAAAGGCCCTCTATTATCGAAAAAACGAGAAGTACATTTCTCTGGTCGGCGACGTTGATGACGACGACGTTTCTTAAAAATTGAAACGTGAAAATTCACAGATCCGGACTTTGCGTTGTGATATCTCCGCTCGTAGGGCACGTAGAAAAAAAATGAAAACACTTTTATCATACAATTTAAGTATTTCCTGTCGATGTATGTAGAACTTAATCGGTTCAGCCGTTACTAAGATCTGATCATCTCGACCCAGAAAATTCTCAGTTTCGCGTAAAGGAGGCACGGCAGTGTCGCGCGCTTGGCTTAGCGCCGAGACACTACCGTGTCTCCAGATTAGATAAATGAGTAATAATAAAGTAAACACAGTAATGAGAAAATCAAGATTACACCAAATATGAAATTATTTGGTTTTGGTACACATTGCCTTTTAATGCCTTTTAACGACAATGACAAATAACTTTTAGGAAATTTTAGTAAAAGGTATATATATACAGACAGATTGGTTCAGGCTTTTCCTTTCAATAAATCTGAAAATAAAATTCAGTAAAAACCAAAAAAAAGTTCTTTAATAATTATATAAAAAATAGAGTGGACAAATAATAGAGAATCTAAAATTATCTGATACAATATTGATTCCAATTATATCAGATATGTTCAGAATCTCTATTAATTTGTTCTCTCTATATTGTTTAAATATTTCATTGTTTCTTTCACACATTTTCTAATTACCAAGCACGCTTCTGATTCGTGGAATTACCATGAAATTATTAAAATATCTCTTCGCTATCGTATAAGTTTAATAATGTATCTATTAATAATTAGTTTTTTCAATTCTCTATGTAATTATATTAAAGAATTGGCGACTCAGTCGATATCTAATCTTTTATACAAATGATATAGATACATAGAATGTAACTTTGCGTCAACAATTGATGATCTATTATACAAATGATACATGTCAATAGATTTAAGTTATATATTAAATAAATAACAACTTTATTAAGATCATTTGCTTGTTTGTTAGTGTTTACATGTTAATGTTAAATGATCCACCAAAAATCTAAAATTAAATTATAAAATTAATATCAATAACTGTTAATACTCACGTTTTTACAACAATACGTTATAAAAATTGGGAGACTGTAGTATCTCTTATATAGTATCTCAACACTAAAATCCACCTAACACAGCAATCAGATCACCTATTCAATGTAACAGTAATAATTAATATTATTATATAATGACAGCAAAAGGTCTTTTTTCCCTCATTTTTGTAAGCCCCCAATTTTAGGACTGAACTGTGTGCAAAATGATATTCTACAAGGATATTAAAAATAAACTTTAGGTTGAGGAGGTAATTGCTATCACAGCAGGAGGAGTGTAATTGTCACCTCATTTTTAAACTTTTCTCTATGATTCATGTCTAAATATAAATGGTAAAATTTGATAGCTCAGTTCCAAAATTGAAGACCCAAAAAACGGGCGATTTTTGACATCATTCTTTTAAAAAAACTATATAATAATAATCAAATTATCAAAACATTTAAGAAAAAACGTATTGGAATACCTTTTATTAATAACTCGATGTTTACCAAACAAATATCTTCCGCAATACACACACTCTGCAAGCATTGGAAAATCATACAAGGCTCGTATCAGCTCATATTTAAAGAACGCGTTTATATTGATAAAAGCGCGCTTTCAATTCAGAAACTGTAACGTAAACTATAGCATGTTAGAGCGCTAACATCGTTATAAGATCTTTCTGAATACGGTCAGTAGTACCAGATGATTCGCATGATTATCCCCTAAATCATTTCCACCAAAAAATCCCCTACAAATCTTCTACTAAACCTAGAACAGAAACTCGATGAATACAAATTATAGCGTTGATTGTAATCTAAGATTTTGTATGTTAACGAACTATTTATCGAACTATGAATTAGGATTGAAACTCGTATTTATAGTCAGACCTTGACTTAAAGCCTAATCTAACCCCGGATCTACAATAGAGTTCGAAGCCTTAAGCCATAAGAAATGGATGAATCATAATCGATTATTCTCCGCGAATTCGACTATAATTGGTTAATTTCTTATTAATTTCTAATGGCTTAAGGCTTAAAACACCTATTGTAGCTTCGGGGTAGAATGACCGTAAGCCGTAAAAATAGACCAATTGTAATTGAATAGGAAGAGTATAATCGATTACGATTGATCAATTTTTGAGGCTAACGGACATTGTAGAATAGGCGTAATGCATGGTCTACAATAATAACAGTAGCAATAGTGGATGAGGCTGTAAGAGTAAGAAATTGACCAATCACAGTCGATTATTCTTCACACATTCGACTGTAATTGATCAATTTCTTACTTCTACAATCTCATCCACTACAGCTACTGTCATTGTAGACTACGTATAAGATTATGTCCGTGTCACACTACGGATTGGAGACGCGGGTCGGATTGAGATTGCGGATCGCGCATCGATATTCAGCCAATCAACATAGAGGCCAACTTGGTCACGTGACCAACTACGTGATTGGCTGACGGAAATGAGCAGATATGGGCATAGCACATGGCGGACCCATCCTTCGCGGATATGTGCAAACGATGGGGTCGACATGTGTCCTGACGTTAATGCATTGGGCGTCCAGATGCCCAAATCTGCTCATTTCCGCCAGCCATTCACGTAGTTGGTTACTTGACTAATGCCTATTTCCACCAATGCAGATTAACTTTAATCTCGGTTTAACTTACTGTTAATCTTTTTTTAATTTTTAGAATTAGAAAAAGATGAAGAGGAAATTGAACCAAGATTAAAATTAATCTGCAATGGTGGAAATGGGCATAAGTTGGCGATTCTCTTTACTAGAGGTTCTCTACTCAGTATTTAATAAGGAAAACAAATAAACGGTGTAATAAATATATAAGCGTGTATATATAATAATTAAATGGTTATTATTATTATGAATCTTTATTTTCTCATACAAAACAGTAAAAATTGTACACCTCTGAGTAGGTCATTAAATACACACTTCTATAGAATTTATTTTATTATAATAAACAAATTTTAAAAAAATTAACCTTGAGCGTAAACTGGTGCTGTATTTCTTTTTTCGAATAATAATTAAAAAATATTTTATCTTTGCAATACACTCGAATTTATAACCTCACAACACACAAACCAAAAGTTGTGACATTACCATGAAGTAAGATTAAGGAGACTTAACTGTGTAGACTGAAGGTGGTCACGAAAAATGTTCCGTGTACTGCCATGTCCGCCAAACGGAATAACTTCAACATTTCATCGCCATATTGAATATTTATATGTGTGCAGTATACTTGCGACTGTGTACACGTATGTGTACACATATACATAGGCCCGTATTCAGAACGCACTTTTATCGATAAAAGCGCGCTTTTATCACTGAAATTCTATAGTATACGTGACGTAAACTACAGCATGTTAGCGCGCTAACATCGTTGTTAGCGCGTTCTGAATACGGGCCATAATATATATCGAATCGGGATGACAGATATCTTAACCTGTAAAGTCTCGAACTTTAATGCTTAATAACTCGGTTCACAAGGCCGACTTCGTCGCGTTTTCACTCAGAACGAAAGAATCTATAAGAAAAATGCGGGGATCGGCCTTATGAACCGAGTTATTAAGCGTAACAGTTCAAGACTTTACAGGTTAAGATATCTGTCATCCCGATTCGATATATATTATGTAAATGTGTACACATACGTGTACACAGTCGCAAGTATACTGCACACATATAAATATTCAATATATGGCGATGAAATGTTGAAGTTATTCCGTTCGGCGGACATGGCAGTACACGGAACATATTTCGTGACCAACTTTTTTCGCCATATCCTATCTAGTTAAGTCTCCTTATCTTACTTCATGGACAAAACGCAATACGCTCAAGCTGATTGATCCCCCACCGCTCACTGTGAAAGAGAGAAACACAACTATGTCTGGAGTAGAGCTGTCCTTCAATGTTCTTTACAACTTTCACGTATGAACGCTCCGTCTATCTTATAAGTCTATGGATTGCATCTGGTTGGATAACGAAAAAACGCCACATGGAAACTAGGCCATATTCAAAAGGCGCGAACTACCACCGTGTTTCATAAACCGTGTTACCCGTGATTCCCGTGAAAAACAAAAGAAGAAAATTAAAAATGTCGACGGATGAAGAAGAAGCTATGTAAGTAGACTTACCATTATAACAAATTATTTATTAAAAATTAGAGTTCAATAAAATTATGAAATTATTTTTATATTTGTTTCAGTTCAATGACGTCGAAAGACGCAAAAGATGTCGAAATAGCAGCCCTGAAGGCTGAGGTATTACGGCTACAAAAATATGCCGTAATACCTCAGTCTTTAGGGTTGGATCCGGGGCAGCCCGTACCATTGGCGACGCAGCCGCCCCTACCAGCGGCGACGCAGCCGCCCGTACCAGCACTACCAGCGGCGACGCAACCGCTCGTACCAGCACTACCAGCGGCGACGCAGCCGCCCGTACCAGCACTACCAGCGGCGACGCAGCCGCCCGTACTAGCACTACCAGCGGCGACGCAGCTGCCCGTACCAGCACTACCAACGGCGACGCAGCCGCCCGTACTAGCGGAGATGCAGCCGCCCAGCGCCCCATCACAAACAAGACGTAAGTATAAAAAAATAAAAAGAGTTCATAATTAACTTTTTTCAAATAAATAAATTCTTATAAATAAACCTATGGAGGTGTAACTCAATCAACGATTTAAATGAAACTTTGCTTTTTGATGAACGTTGAAAAATATTAATAAAATATACTTATCTAATCCCGTATATTTGTAATAAAAATTTAATCATTTTTAAAATTAATTACAGCAAGAAGATGGGAGAAAAGTAAGTATGCCAGAGGGCATCGAGGAGGACGCGGTGGACGCAGAGAACGTGGACGCGGTGGATACAGTGGACGCGGTGGACGCGTATATAATAAATATAATATTAACTATTATTAAAAAAATATACATACATTAACTACTTTTTACGTATAACATAAGTGGAACACAGCCGTAACAAATGTATATATGTATAAATATAGATATATATAAAAATAAACTATTAATTTTGATCCACATCCAAAAAGATATATCTTTCTCTATCCACATCAAAATCTCAATGTTCAATGCGTAGTCTGATTCCGGCCTAAGTCAACACACAAGGATTTGTTGTAATTGTTTCCGACAGAATCGTAAGTCAAAGTAAGAATCAAAATAAACATACGTCATAAGACGTAAGGATCTTTACAACAAACATTGTGCGTTATGGGCCTTCTACAAAAAGCCATTAATTAAGTTTTAAGTGTTAAATCATAAGAATTTTATAAATCAATCGAATGTGAGAAAAATAATCGACTGTAAGTGGTCAATTTCTTATAACTAAATACTTAAAAATTAGGAAATGGCTTATTGTAGAAGGCCTATTTATAATAACTTACGACTCAGTCGGAAACTGTTACGTCAAACTACGACAATCTTCCCAGTGAGAAATGACAATATAGAGTCGACGTCGATTCAATGCCAATTCAATGTCGATTTGATGATCCGCCATACGAAAGGATGCTGTAAGAGATTATATATATATTAAAATGAAAAGGTCAAGCCATGTTCAAAAATAGATCCTCGCAAATTAAAAAACCCAACAAATTTAAACCTTTGAAAACTAACCGCAAAAATTTGATCCTTCCTAAATTAAAACGATTA